AGCCCCCGAAAACCCCCCCCCCCCCCCCCCCCAGCTGTCTGTCCTGAGGCTTCTCTTACTTCCCTTCGGACCCTGGCTGCCTGAAGGCCATGGAGGGACGTGGTGTGGGACAACCTCGGGAGCTGTCCTATCCCACTGTGAGGACACCTTCTGGTCCCTTCCCTACCCCGGCCTCATGACCGACGCTGGTCCTGACTCCCGCATGCTCCAGGCTGGCCTTCCCACCGTGCACTGAACAGCCATGACACACTAAGTGCAGCCTACACGGCCCTGCGCCTGCTCCGCCGGCCGCCCCTAGCCCACGGCCGGGCCCTCACCTTCAGGAGGAGGTGGTACTTCAGGACCCTCTGCATGGGCACCACCAGCAGGTCCTGCAGCTTGAACTTCCCGTCCTGGACCTTCAGCGTGCACTCCTGGGCGTCAGGGGACATGGTGAGGACCGCCCTCCCGGGGCCGCTGGGGGACCTAAGGCCTGAACTCGGCCCAGATGGCTGGCCTTCCTCCAACCAGGCTCCCAGGGCAGGTCCCCACAGAGGGAACCTCATGGCACGTGGTGGGGGGGCACATTGCCCCTCACCTGGAGGCACCTGCTCGGGCCACCCGAGGAGACACTCAGAGGACCCCGCACTGGCCTCGGGGAAGCTGAGGCTGGTCTTTCACCCAAGGACAAGCCTCTACCCACCTACCCCATCTCCCTCTGGCTAAGCTGTGGGGTCCCCTTCAGGAACCAGAGCCCCCACTGGTAACCTGGATGTGGGAGCACATGCCACGTGTTCCCTGGGGGCTCCCTGGCCCCGCCACTGGGCCCAAGGTACTCTGTATGTGGCTCCATGTGGAAACTAAGATGCAGCCCCAACTAGAGGGCGAGGGGCCTGGACAAGGGAGACCCTTGAGACCAGCCCTGCGCCTCGGGAGCTCGGGTGGGGCAGAGCCCGGGCCTGTAGAGGCCAGGGTGTGGGGGTCAGAGCCCTCACCGACCCAGAGGTGGTCACCAGGCCTTGGATTCAGGCTAGGTCCCAGCCTGGACAGCGACTTCCGTCAGCCCACTCCCCACCCCAAAGAAACGCAGAGGGAAGATAAGCTGGCAGAAGCAACAGTGTCACCCCCCCCTTCCCCTGCCAATGAGAGACGGTCACTCGGTGGGCGAGCTGCCCTCGGGTCGGGCCACGGGAGCCCCCTTACCTCGACTTTCTGCCGGAAGTCCTCCCGGCCGGCCAGGAGCTGGTTCAGTGTGCTCTGGGCGTGCTCCATGCGGCTGCAGTACTCTCCGTAGATCAGGAGCCTGCTGGGCCACGCCACGTGCTGAGCAGGAGGCTGGCCTACGCGTCGGCACCCACCGACCCCTGCCCGGCACTGCCAGCCAGGAAGGGCGGCCGAATGGGAAGGGGACTGAATCGCCCCCGGCCCTGTGGTCCTGTACTGGGCACAGCCAGGCTCGGGTGGGCTGCACAGCCCACCGCATCCCTCTCAAAGGGCCAGGCAGGGCTCCGGCCTTCAGCCAACAGGCCCCAGGAGGCCGACGCCTGCCCGTGGGTGGACACGAGGCCTGCCCTGCTCCGCTTACGCTGGTGACCTGCCAGGTGAGGGGACCCCAAAGGCCCTCTGTAGCTGCCACATGGTGCCAGGATTCCGTGAGCAGGGGCATCACCCCCGGAGAGCCAGGAAGATGGAGCCGACGCTGGGCCCTCCCGCTGTCTCCAGTGTCCTGCCCCTCCCCACGCTCGCGCCCCAGCCCCGCTCTGTGCCTATGCTGCTCTCTGCTGCGATGACACCCCGACACCTCCTGTATCCCTTCGGGGCCCAGTCTCCGCCTCCAGAACCCCACGCCCTCGGGGCTATGGGCTGCTGGCCTAAAACCTCCTGGCTGCAGCGACCCCTTGGAGGAGAGTCACACGGATGACGTCACTGCGATGAGCTGGACGGCCACCACCTCCTGGGGCACAGCTGACCCCTCCCACCGTTCTGCCCACTTACACAGGGTGGGGTGATCAGCTCTCTTCAGACAGAGAAACTGAGGCCTCCACAAACTTGCCAACGGGCCTGGCCTGGCGACGGCTCAGTCATGAGGCTGAGCTCCATCCGCCCGGCCCAGCGATGCCTGTCAGGGACTGCCGTGCGTAGCGGGTGTCCGCAGGCCTCCGGGAGGCTCAGGGCAGCCCCTGCAGAGGTCAAGGTAACTCAGGACCGCTCTCTGCCTGCCGCCCTGAGGCACCGGCCTAGGGCTCAGGGCAGGCAGCTGGGCCACAGCTGGCGTGGCACGTGGGAGAAGCCTCATCTCTGCAGGGCTCCGGGTGACCACGGTCCTGCCACGCGGGCCCAGGCAGGGCTCCCCTGCCCTCCTGGGGACCTCAGGTCTAGAACGGGGATGCCCCCTCTCAGCCCTGTGTGTCCGGCTTCATGAGAACAAGGCAGTGGGCAGGGAACGTACTTCCCACCTGGGCAACACGTCACCCAGAGCTCGCTCAGTGTTGGTGACCCGTCCCCGGTCATTAGCCTCTGTCTTCACACAGGGTCAGAGGCTCCCAAAGCCCTCAGTCCCCAAGGCCTGCACACGTGACGGGGCTGCAGGGTGGACCCCGGCACTGAGAGGCTGAGACTACGCATCCAGAAAGAGACCCGAGCTCGTCCCGGAGCTCGGCCAGAAGATCCCCTGCCCTGCCTCAATACAGCAAAGTGCCCCATGGTCGGGCGTGTCGGCAGGCAGGGATGGGGCACTGCAGGGATGGGGACTGCATGCACACGTGCCCTGCTGCACACCCACGGCTGGGCCTGTCAGGAGGTAGAGACAGAGCACCTCAGGCATGAAGCCTGCATGTATGCGTCCCTTGCTGCACACCCATAGCTGGGCCTGTCAGCAGGGCACCTCAGGTGCGGAGCCTGCGTGGACATGTCCTTTGCTGCACCCCTCATGGCGGGGCCTGTCCAGAGGCAGGGATGGGGCACCTTGGGCATGGGGCCTGCATAGACGTGTCCCCTCCTGCACCTCCAATGGCTGGGCCTGTCGGCAGGCAAGGACAGGGCACCTCTGGCGTGGACGTGGCCCCTGCTATATCCCCGACAGCTGGGCCTGTCAGGAGGCAGGGATGGAACACCTTGGGCGTGGGGCCTACCCTGCTGCACACCCCAGCTGGGCCTGTCGAGAGGCAGGGATGGGGCACCTTGGGCGTGGGGCCCACAGAGACGTGTCCCCTACTGCACACCCATGGCTGGGTCCACAGACAGACAGGGACGGGGCACTGGGCACAGGCCCCTGGGTGGCACAAGCAGACCCCTCCAGCTCTTGTGACAGGAGCAAAGCGCTGCTCGACGCACCTCGTGAGAGCTCCGGGGACCAGGA